CACCCCGTCGGGGCCTTTAGCCCCTCCGTCGGGCAGGTCCTGGCGCCACCACTGTTTCAGAATATAATACACCAACTTGATCTGGATTCAGATGGAAGCACAGACGACATGGCAGTGTTTTTCCTTCCTGGTCATTTTAACTTACTTAGAGCACATTAAAGGTATGTTGTTTAATTAATCGACTTTTCATATTTAAAAATAAACACAATTTCACAGATGTGGATCATCTTTTGTACGAATATTACTGAAGTTGAGACAATATAAATAAGACGAAGAAAAATAGCGACGTGAAGCCGTCGTCTAATAATTTAGCAGGTCTTGCAGCAACCAGCAAAGTGTTTGATTTGGTTACTGATCTGACGTCCAACTACAAGATGAGTTAGGCCGTCCGCTTCGCCGAATTCGTCGGTCATTGTCCGGTATGGTATGGAATCGCTCTTCAGCAAATTATCGCCATGGTAGTATCAGCATTTGAAATTGCATTTTTTTCCCCAACAAATCATTATTTTCACATTATTAACATCATCATCATCATCAATATTATTGGCTTTTCCTAACAATAGCTGGAAAAGCCAGTAATTTTTTCTGATTTTTTCCCTTTTTTCTTGCATATCTTTGCCATTGCAGCTATAGTTTGAGTCTCACTGACGTCGCGTTAGTCGCGAAGTTGGTTTTCATTGTTGTTTTTTACTTCATAATTTTCTTTAGTAGTAGGCCTATTACTATTTTTGTTTTTCGTGTGTTTTTTACTTTATACTTTTTAATTATTTTATTCTGGCAATGAGGAAAAGCCCTACGTTCTGTTGTACAAACAGATATAGTAGGTTTAGTTTGGAGGGTTTTTTCTTGTATAGTTTTTCCTATCTTTTTGCACAGGGTTTTTCTGCCCGTCACTTTCCATGCTTGAATCTTTTCCAAACGTTGTCCAATCATAAACCATATACCAAAAATGTATATGTGAGGACCAATTAAAGAGATTTAAATGCAAACTATTATAGCAATTATTATTATTATTTATTTATTTTTTAAATTTTTTTTAAAACTCTTAGTATTTGTTTATTTCCACAGAACGAGCGTAATCAAATTCGTATTACTAACGTATGGCTACGACAGGTGAGTACACATTTTCGTCCCTTCACTCATTAAAATGGCAATGAAGATGATAGGCCTATAGGATGACGAAATTGACGATGATGATCTTGATGATCAGAAGAATGATGAAATGTCCATGCAACCATTTAACAAACATATTTCAATCTCAATAGTACCGGGTTCACATTCATTTACGCTGGAACCCAGATGACTATGGCGGCATCAATTCAATAACTTTGCCATCTTTAAACTCTTGGAAACCTGATATCATTCTATACAATAAGTAAGTTATTGGCATATAAAGCTTTTTATCTTAGACGATCGGGGATGCATCGTTTTCAGATCGTCTTGTGTTTTGGAGATGGGATCTAGCCAATTTGCCGAAACCCAGTTTGCCGAGTCCACTTTGCCGTATAGCCCAATTGTGCTTTTAGTTAGACCACAATAAACTGGCAATAAAAATAACGCTATTTGAATAGGCAAATCATTCATTTTGGTTCGACGACCTCGTCGTGGCGCCAGACTACGGGGATGGGGTTGAAATGCCCTCCCTAATCTCGCTGGCACAACCACTGACACGTGCATATGGACTTGAACATTAATAACAGGCTTGGCAAATCTGGAGATATGATACTAATTTTAACTGATAGCCATGCATTCAAGTGTGCTTTTCCACATCATTGTGTTCTTTTTAATTTATATATAAATACGGTTCCTACCTCTAAATTTTGTTCCAGGAAAAGTCCTTGTTCGTACGACTCGGACAGTGACGGCAAAATTTGGCAAACTGGGTTTCAGCAAACTGGATTGTCATAATTTTGGATCGGCGAGCTGAATTCGGCAACAAAGTGGCCATAGACTCGGCAAACTGTATTGTGTTGTATGAAATGTCCAACAAGGGACGAACCGTTCAACATCCTCTTTCATTGCTACAGTTTAGATGTTAGGCCTAATTAGCTTCATAGGTGTAGGCCTACCTTATAGTATAACAGGAAATATTATTTATTTCAAAAATTAAAACGAACGTGGAAATCACATACAATGGCAATGTCACGTGGTTTGTTCCAGCTGTTTTCAAGAGTTCGTGTAAGATTGATATCTACTTCCATTTTGATGGAC